CATGCGTGTTTTTTGAGCTCAATCGATTACTTTCGACGTAAGAAGGTCACCAATATGCATTTATAAAGTGTTTGGGTCAATAATAAGGAAGAAATCGTCGGTTGAAGATCCCGAAAACTCAAAAACGCTTAAAATGTGCCGAAAATGTCTATTATTTCGGATTTGAAACTTCTAGCATGTTTTTCAATGAGTTCGATGCATTCCTCGCGCCTGTGAGCTGAAAATGAGGTAAAATTGGAGACATTTTGAGGAAAATTAATTTTTTTCAAAAAATCGACCCTTACCCTAAGAAAAATTTCGGCCAAAAATCTAAATTTCACATGCGTGTTTTTTGAGCTTTTGCGTCAATAATAAGGAAGAAATCGTCGGCTAAAGATCGTGAAAGCTCAAAAACGCTTAAAATGTACCGAAAATTAAACGTTACTCAGAAAAAATGTTGATGATCTTTTTTTTTAGATGTGAAAATTCCATTCTTGGGTGTCGTAAAGCTTTACTAAATGACTTATAACTCATTAACCGATGAGTTATAACTCAGGGAGCGGGGACAACTCAACAGCGCAGCTCAACACAGTGTTACCCAGGCCTAGATCAGACCAAGAGCGCACTATAAAGTGATTGGCAAAAGGGATGGCAACACCGACGGAAAAGTGACCACGTTATCCTAACTTCAAAATATTTAATTTAAGTTCGCTTTCTTTGTTTATGTTTATTAGTGGTCACTACAATCTTTAATAATTCAAAAGCAACAGGTATTTACGTAATGGTCGATTACCTTGAAAAGCATTCCTGCCATGCTTCTGCTCTAGGGTGATGGTGTCGTTTGAGGTCCTCGGAATTTGTAGTTTTTTCTATTCTTATCGTCAATATCACTTCAAATTAAGCAAAAGGAGTCCATAAATTAAGCCAAAAAACACTCACAAACTTTTGAAATTTTAGTTTCCAAAACCACTTATTTATGCACGAAAAGGAGATTGTCCGGTGCTAGTTGCTGCTAAATCGTGTTTTTGGTATCAACAATTCATAACTCCACATGAAAAATTGTCGCTAACATGCATAATAATAGTAATAGATGAATTAACCACTTACTTCAGTTTGTGTTAGCATAGTAGTTAGTGCCTATATAACCCTATCTCACCCAAACTAACCTTTCATTATCTTAAAACATTTTGCGCAGTTTAGCAACACCGCTCCAAATTTAACCTGAAAATGGGCGATTTTCCTCAAAGTTTGAGTGTTTGGATCCTTCAGGAATTTGAAGTGCTCTTTAAGGTAAGAATAGACAAAACTACACATTCCGAGGACCTCAAGCGACACCATCACCCACCTGGTAATGAATTACGCCAATTTTGAATCACCCTGTATATCACCTTTGCGAACAACGCATAGTATTTTTAATTGAATTACAAATCGATGCAATGCTACGTGAGGCACTTTCTGCCTTAATATTTTATCATAGAACTCCACTATTAGTGCTTTCAAGTCAATATATTTGATAAATCCGCAAATCTCTTTGTCGGTTCGCTCTGAAAATTACCCCAAGGAAATTTCAAAGCGACGAAAATTCAAAGTTTATTTAATAAAAGTAAAATCGCTGATTCACAAAGAATAGGGATTCTGAAGCCCACACAGGTCTCTAGTGCATAGGATGGGTTAATAGGCTGTTAACAGTTCAATTCATGGTCGCTTAGGGATATTGATTAGCTTCGGGCAAACCAAAATAAAGATGAAAACAACGGGACATTCACTTTAACTTTAATAATAATTCATAGAAAGAAAAAACATTTGACAGATCAGATATCACAAAACTAATAAATCATGTCAATTCAAAATACAGTTTCAGAATTGAATGAATTAGGCTACTTACATGACTATAATCTGTCAATAACTGTAAGTACTCGATAAGCAGCAACCAAGTAACATTTCACTCAACACTCAGCTATCACAGAATAGACTTTTAATTCTAACAAATTACGTTTTGATGAAATCTAACACATCAAGAATCAAAAAGTTTTTTACATAATAATCTGTGCTGACAGTGTAACAAAATAAACAACATTTACCGGTAATAACGGCTGTTATGTTATACAAGAAATAAACAACATAACAATTCAAAAAAGGAACATATCTTCCAATAAACACACCGAAAACTAATTACTCATCTTGCTTCTACCCATTAAATTAACTAAAAATTCGAACAATGAATATTATTAGTTTTTGATCGGGTTATCAGCCTCTTCCATTAGAGTTAGCACGAGTAGTTAAATTCATAAGTATACTAGTGGTATGAGTAGTGACTAGGCGATTACATAATATGATTTGTAGATCAGAGGTTTTACACCTTGGTGCCTTTACACCTGGTGGCCGCTGATGGCGTTGATTGGCTGAAAACAAAACTCAAAGTTAATCGATTTTACAAGACGGAATAAATCATCCTCTAGTCTCAGTTGATACGTATAGCTCCGTTTACACAGTAGCTAATCACTCTGTTCTATAAAAGAAGAGAGAAAAATGTCAGATATTGTCTAAACAAAGTTAATACGACAAAATCAAAACACTGTTGAAAGGACGGAAAACTCAGTTGCAAACATAGACTAATTTTCCCAAAACAAACAACAGAAGCATATTCGACCCAACTACAACAATAGTCAAAGATAACAAAAGACTAAATAAACAGATAAAATAATACTTCAATCGATAGTATTCTATACCCATGACTTTAAATGGGTGACCAATCAAACTCAAGGAATTGCATGGCAGAGCTTCGGTTCTATCCGCAAGTCCAAGTCCAAACGCCCTCTGGGGCGCCTTCAATTATAACTAAGTACACTTTAAGTAGTAAAATTTGACATTTTGCAAGTCTTTAAACAAATAGAAACATCTTGAAGTCTGAAAGAATGGTTGTTATAGACTTTAAATCAAAGAATGCCATGCATCTTTTTTGAGCAACGATTTTGGGTCACAACACTGCTAATGAATACGACGGGAATAAAACAGAAACAATCGAAAGTTTCTATTAGACTTACATAAACACTTACTCGGGTGTTAATTCTCGAGTTAATCGATAAGTCGTTTTCTTCAATACAGAGATCGGAATCTGAATCTCGTCTTTTCGAATTTGACCCGTCCTGAAATAGGCAGTAATGAATGTTTGCCATTATTTTTTGGGGCGAGTTGTGAACGCATCTGAAGATAGTTACCTGAGTCAATTGCTCCGTCGTAGTTAAAAATCTAGCCAGAGGAGTGCAGCAAACTGGAAGCGTCTCCAAAAGAGTGGGTCTGGAGTGGGTTAACAAGGGTTTCATGTACTTGCTATCCAACGAGCCCCATACTCGCGCTAAAAGGGCCTTTTCGTTCTGTGTGGGACGCTGTGGAGCGCCAAACGGCTCGTTGCAGTCACTTCTAGGAGTTGAGTTTCCCTGTAAAAACACCGATCTTTAAATAACGTTCAACTTTGAGAGTTTACACCCAAATCGCTTATCAACAGGCATGCTCAATGGGTAACATACATTTTGCATGCCCCAAGCCACCTGGTGAATGATCGTTACCATGCCGCCCAGAGAAAGTAGGAAAATCGTTACAGGAAATTCAGATTACCGATAAATTTACCATTGGCGAATTACCCTTAGTAACCGACATTAAAAGCAGAGTTGTTTGTTTAAGGACCACATGCGAGAAAAATTTGTGCCTATACCTACCGCAGAACCTCTTTCCATTGAATTGTATACCTATTAATTGAAATCGAGTAATTATAAGTGAGAGCGTAGTACTTTATGGTGACTTACACTGTGACCACCATTCTGCGACAAGGCCTCTGTTTCTTCATCGCTGCCCACTCTGTAAAAATCACCATAAAAAATGTCCAGCCTGCATTAACGACTACTTACGGTATTTTCAGCCACTTCAACAAATTCATGCTGGCTCCTCCTTGAATTATCACAGTTATGATCACTATAAGTGAAGTTGTGGTTAACATTGCCTGTCTAGCTTCCGACCTGGTATTTCTAATCGCCAAAGCAAATGACATGGCCCCTCGTAGTCCTAGTCACAGTATAAAACGTAAATAATACTGCAGTGTTAAGACTGATGGTTCCGTACCAGCAAAAAACAGCATGTGTTGGAAGTTTAACGGGATTTTCGGATGTCGGCCCAAGTTGAGCAGAAATGATAACGGGTATACATTTGCTGCTCGTCCTATGGCGGCACAAATCTGAGAATAGCTAAGGAAACTTATCGATCCAATCATTCTTAAGGATGCTTTGAACAAGATTGTTAAAGGATACAAATCCAGCAATAATAAACCACGTTTCGAAGTGGTGCTTCGGAAACGTGAACATGGAAACACCGATGTAAGAAAATATAAAATTTTCCGCCAAGAAATTGAGCAGCTCGAATATTTGCTTGGTCCTTATTCTCGAGTCTTCTGATAGATTATTGTAAGTGTAGTGCGCTTGGCAAATTCCGCAAAATAATACTGATACCACACCTAGAAATTGTTTTGGTTGCAGATTTGAATTCAGTAGGTCCATCCACTTATGAACTCACCAGTCAGGTCCGATGCTTCAGCTATCAAGAATGTGCTGTAAGACATGAGCACAAACAAAGCGGATTCCAATAATGGAAAATCTCGTACTCTCGTATACTTGGTCATGTAAATTTGATTAAGGAATAATGTTCATGATGAATTTGCAGTACAAAACTTGGAAGAAGGTTAAAAGGATATCAATGCAGTGATGCAGCCCATAGCGGCGCCAATAAGTAACGACAGCATGAATATGCCGCAAAAGTCTCCCACTGCCTGGAAAAACGCTTTTATTTCAAAACCTCCCGTGCCCAATTGATATCTTTTGCCGTAGTGTTGAATGGACCTAAAAATTCACATAGCGACCGTTAGCATCTCATACACCTGTGACCTGGTCATGCTTGTTAATTATAAACCTAAATCCACCTAGAGGACGACTTTCAATTGTCTTCACAAATTATCTATTCAAATTGCGGGATGATTCAAATTAATAATTATTGTACATACTTTCCTGACTGTGTTTCAATTCCAAATCAAAATCAATTCCTGGGCTTCAGTCATTTATTGTCTATTTATCAATTAAAATACGTTTCGGTGTTTTCCACCATCATCAGTTTCTATGTGTAGCGTTGTTGCTACTTTAAACCTTGCCATATTACAGATATGCCAAGGTTTAAAGTAGCAACAACGCTACACATAGAAACTGATGATGGCTGAAAACATCGAAACGTATTTTAATTGATAAATAGACAATAAATGACTGAAGCCCAGGAACTGATTTTGATTTGGAATTAATAATTATAAAAACGATGCGAATCGTTGTTTGAAAACACAGGCGTAATTGAAGAATTCCAAGAAGTAAATTAATTCATCGATGAAAACTGTTGAAAGCCGTTTCAATTTTTCTATACAGTACATCGGAGTGGGTACTTACCCGCTAAGAACGATAGCAACAGCATCATTAAGAACACTTTCACCAAATACTAAGGCATACAGATTAACATCTACGTTTAAATCGTTAAAAATAGCTATGATTGTCAAAGGGTCAGTAGAGGAGATTAGTGCTCCGAAGTAAAGGGTGTCCAAGAAGGTAAAGCTAGTGGCGAGTCGGATTGGCATTAACTGTACGCAACCATACATCAGTATGCCCACAATAAAGGAGGAAACAGTCGTACCGATAATTGCGTAAGTTAAGATTGCACCCAGATTACGAAAGAAATATTTCTGAAACAGCATAAGAACAGTATATAGAATGTTTACCTGGACCTAGAAAAGGAGATCATTTTCACGATCAAAATAAGACTAATTTCAAGTAGATAAATTAAGTAGGTCTAGGTTTATACACGTAACCCAATTGATTGATCTGACCCCTAGCAAAAAGTCATCAAGAAAGCCTTATTAAAAAAGCAGAGCTTCATTATTAATATAGATATAAGCGTTTGGTTTGAATGTTTCATTTAATTTGTTCTTCGGCAAAAAATCAGGCCCCATGAGACAAATATGTACATACTAAGTGGTTATTCCGGCATGGAGCATGCCATGTTAAACATTCCGATTCTTACCCGTTTCAATGAATATCCAGCATGGAAAATGATGGGGGGCAAGATAATGTTAAAAAATATCTCTGGATCAAACGTGGCTTTCAAGTCAATCTCGTTTTCTTTGACATCGTCGATTTCATTGCGAAAAACATACTGGAAAGTAAGATTTCTGCTTGGATTGGGTTTAGGCATGTATAAAGACAATGTATCTGGCGGCAGGCTGGAGTTATATTTGGTTTCGTCTACGAACACCTGCATGTTTATTACTTGGGAGGTTGCACCAGAATATCTTATAATAGCCCCTACTATAAGGCCTGAAAAAATATAATTTCTCAATTCATATCACAGGTACAAGAGGATTGTTGAAAGTATTTTTAGCCAAGTTATCAGCATGTTGAATTGACCTTAGAGTTATTCTTGTTATACTTTATCTCAGCTATAAAATGTTTCCCAATATCTAGTAATGCATTTGAAACAATGGAATTAAAATAATACTGTATCGACCATGAAAGTACAGATTCTATACTTTGAAAATTAAGTGATCTGGACCACCTCAACTGGACTACCAGAAATATATAAGCAAACAGATTGATACTTACCATATATAACAGCTAAGCCTGTCTCATGTACAAAACTTAATCTACGATGCTTAAAAAGCCAAATAGTTAATACAGTTAAAATTAAAAGAAGGGTATAGGAGAGTAAATTTAAGCTATCTAGTCGGTGAGTGGATTGGGCTTTTGCATCCAGCTGAATATCTGAAGGAGCCCCATGAACAGTATTTATCACAACTTGCAGTGTTATTATCAAATGGCTTAACGTAATCAGTCCCATCTTTACCGTGTGAGAAATCAAGAGTGCAAAAGTGATGCTCAAGAGTTAAGGCAATTATTCAGTTTTTAAAAGCTTTGATCATGCTTTGATTCACTTCACATTATTTATTATTTTCAATTTCACTAGTCTGATTTTTTGACAATTCATGACAATTGATGACAATCTTCTCATAAAACTAGCACTGCCCTCCATGGAAAAAAATTCAGCAACTTTTTGCAGACATTGATGTATGCACTGAAATTATTGACGTATTGGCGAAGGTTGAATTTGCGCGAGTGTTAGAAGAAATCTTGTAGTAGGATTAGGTCGGGCGTCCTTTGGATGCGTTTTCATTCTTTAATATTTTTAATTAATATTATTTTAACTTTCAGGCTTTTAGGTCTTCGTGGATTTTTTTCTCATCTCCTGATGGTCACCTATTGATTGCACGTAGATAGTTGGGACTTGATTGAACCAAAATAAGAAGAGTGTAAATTAAAACGTATTTTTGCTTTGAATATGCGCTTCCAACATAATTCTGCTGAGAAAATGCCGTTTTGCTATCTTCCATCTTTGATTTTTACAATTCTTCCTAGAAAACGCCTTAGAAAAGCGAAACGCAAAAAAATCGTTGGTCATCCATTTGCCCCGATTTATCATACATTCATTGCAGTTTTAACTCCAGTTAACCAATGTATTTTGCTGTATATCTACGTCCACCGCCCAGCGGACGCTCAAATTAATTCATGTACTTGAGAACTTGCGCTGTCTAGCAGCGTTTAATGCAAATTAGGAAGCTGGAATACAATGCAGTCGTTTTTTAACATCAAAAAGTAAATATATAAAGACTGGGACAAAAAACGATGATTATAAAAAGCACTACAAAAAAATATATTTCGAATCAATCCTTGAAAAGGTACAAAGTGCAGTAACGATCAATTTGAAATTCGCTTGGAACCAAAAGCGATACTTAATACTATACTATATAGAAGACTTAATTTACAATAATATATACAATTAGACAATACTTTAAAAGTAATAGTTGTACTTTTTATAATTTTAGAGGATTTTGTTGCACGATTCCTTCTGCTTTGCAGATATTCTTCGCAATAGAGCTCATCTTGGTGAAGTTATCTAAATTCTTGCCATTGGCAATAGATTTAAGATTCGCAGCGACTCTTTGGGAAGCCTGAAATAAGCAAAACATTTGAAATTGTGAGTGAGAGATCTGGGTTGCATAATTTACCTCCAGTGTCCAGGCTTCAGCCAACAATTTTTGATGTTGAGCAGTATCAACTCCCTCTTTAAGAGCTGCACTGGCTCTGCTCAGCACAACAACACTGCCATAAATATCAAAAACCGAATTGGCAATTCTGTTCAATATGAACTGTTCATCCACGATGCTTTTGCCATACTTGATGAGCACCATTTCAATGGCTTGACCAAAGGAATCGACACTGACTGCCAGCTCCGAAGCAGCTTGGGTCAGGTCTTTGTGTACATAAGGTTCCATTGATGGTGGTGATCCCAATCCCACACTTCTCACCACTCTTTTCGAAGCTTCCTCGAATATTAAACCGAGGTTAGCTGTGGGATTCTTGAAAGCGTTTTGCAGTTCTTTCAAATGTGCGCCTGCATACTGGATCCCTGCATGCACCGACAAGATTTGTTAATATATGGCAATATTGCGGATTAGTATGGACATCGTACCTGTTAATGCTACAAACAGTCGGAGAATATCATTGGTTCCTTCAAAGATCCTGAATATTCTCAAGTCTCTCATTACTTTTTCTAAGCCCGTTTCTTTCATGAAACCCATGCCGCCCATTATCTGGATTGCTTCATCACATACATACCAAGCAGCTTCGGAGGCAAAACACTAAAAACAAATCAATGGGTTTTATAAGGTCAGTACTTTGTGCCAAAACCATTATTAATCTACAAAGTGTCTGCCTTCAGCTTAGCAAACATACAGTTTATGAGTAATTCGTCGTAATTGAAGTATCACCCGGTGCGATGAACAATTTAGACAATTTCTTCACTAATTGAAATAATGCATTTGATGAAGGCTCACCTTTGAAATGGCAGCTTCCAGATGGTAGTGTTGCGACCCCTTGTCCATATTTCCAGAAATCATATAAGCCATTGATTCAGTGACATAGTGCAGCATAGCCATTCTCGCGATTTTCTCCTGAATAGCCCCAAAGTTGGTGATGACTTTTCCGAACTGCTTTCGCTGATTTGCAAATTCTACAGACTTTTTGACGCAAGTTTTCATGGTACCCGATAAGGCAGCTGCCATTCCAAATCGCCCATTGTTCAAGATGTTCATAGCGACTTTGAACCCATTTCCAACGCCTCCAAGAACGTTTTCGATTGGAATTTTTACATTATCGTAGTAGACCTTAAAACAAAGGCAGTATGTTGATGGAAATAGTGTGGTAAAATTGTGTCTTACAAACCTCCGCTGTATTGGAGCATTTGATGCCCATCTTCTTCTCTGGAGGGCCATTAGTTACGCCACCAAAGGACCGCTCCACAATGAAAGCTGTGACTTTGTCAACAGTTTTTCCTGTCTTCGGATCCTGTACTGGTGTTTGAGCAAACACAGTCATGACCTCGGCTAATCCGCCGTTACTGATCCAAATTTTTGCGCCATTTAAAATATAATGTTTTCCATCCGAAGACAACTCGGCCCTTGTCCTGGATAAACAATACTGATAGAACCTTTTTTCGTCAAAAATGCTGATTACTTACTTAATTGAGCCCGCATCAGATCCAGAAGACGGTTCAGTCAAGCAAAAGGCTGCCCAAGTGCCACTGGCTACTCTGGGAAGATATTTCTGCTTTTGCTCTGGAGTGCCATATAAAAGAATGCCTTTGAAGCCAATAGATTGATGGGCTCCCAGGGTGATGCCCACTCCCAAATCGTTAGCACCGACGATTTCAACAAGCCTTGCGTACTGAGTATTGGTTAAGCCGAGTCCACCCATCTCCTGAGGGACCTGCAAGGAGAAGGCCCCCAATTCCCAGAGTCCCGCTAAGGTTTTCTCCTCCACAGTCTCCAACGCCTCATTTTTAGCAGGGTTGTTTACTTCATTGAAGAACTTCTCTGTTGGATCGACCAGCATCTGTAGAGTTTCTCTCTGTTCTTCATTAAGAGCACTAGGGTAAGGGAAAACCTGGCGATGTTCCACTTGACCCTTGAACAGATTCATTACGAAGGATAAGTTCTCCTCCTGAGTGGGTTTGACTTTAGGTTTCTCTGCTACGGCAGGATGGGCGGCTGCTGTTGGGGTCGTTTTCAAACATCTACAGAAAAATCAGTCACTTAATTTCACAGGTTATCTGATGGATTCGCTGGTCATTACCTTATTGTGATGTTTTCGGATTTCACTTGTTGCTGGATCAAATTCCTAGCCACACGAAACATTTTTGCCACTAAAGTTCGACCTTTCCCTTTGCAGTATTCGCGAAATAAATGAAATTTATACGGCGATAAGTCGAAATCGGAAAACAAATTAAAAATAATGTATACTTTGAACCAATTGTTGGACTTCGGACCCTGACCCAAAATTTAGTTTCTATCGGAGAAAAACAAAATCTACAGGGACATTCAAAATATACTATTTTAAACACAAGAAAATTATTGAAAAAAAAATTGGAAGTTTGAGACGAGTCATCCAAAAAGTGGTAGTGCCACCACTGTATTCAGCATAGATAAAGACAAGTATCCAGTGCCACGCCCAGAACACCTCTGAAAAAAGCTGTGCACAAACCCTTGTCTTTATCTATGGGGAAGAGAGGAGTCTCTATCTATCTATTTGGCGATTGATGATTGGACCAATAGATGGCTGCGCGTGAGCTCTAACCATCGACGTCTTGATCCTGAATCTTTAGTAGAGTTTTTTGTTGTTCGGTGATTATTTATCCGGTTGTTTACTAGAGAAAATAGTGTGGTTGCAATGCTTATTTGATATTTTTCTAGTTGTTGTCACCTTCATCTATGTTTGCTACTGTCATACCAAGGTGGCCACTCGTACGGTACATATACGGTAATTTGGTCAATTTAATCAAGTACCGTACGGTAACAACAATTTGGGAATTTTTGTACGGTATTGTACGGTAAATACCATGGGACCATGTTTTTTACCAGTGCGAAGACTGTCACACTATGGCTTAAATACGATATTTTCAAATGGCTTGTACGGTAATAAGCGTTTGAGGGGTTGCCCACCCTGTGTCATACATAAAGACAAGTGGTTACTGTTGGGTCTGTTGGTTGGAGTGCCTGAATGTTGACTTGACATTTAATGGCAGATGGCAGAAGGTGCTTCGCAATCTTGCATTTGCATCACATTTGCATTAAATGTAATGGTGGTTAGTTGTGTGTATAGATACGGTGGTGGTACAGTTCTTTTATGATCGTTCCACAAGCAAAAGGTGCATTTTTGAAGTATTTATCGTTTATGGATCATCGGTCTTTGCCCTAGAGCATCCCATGATCTGTTTCTCAGTGTTAGCCATTTTCGAATATTTTGGAACAAGTGTGTTATTCTAGGTTGAATTTGGTTCCAGGTTTTTTGTAATTAACATGGCGGATAGTGCCCTGGCCGATGGAAATGTGCATCAAAGATATTGCTTGCAGTAAGTATTTAGTATGACTTTGTGAAAGCGTGCAGTCTTTAGTGCTCCACACAGTTGGGTTATATATACATATACATCACTCTGCTTGGAGCAGGTGCTCGGGTCGCCCCTTTAACTTTCGCTGCATTAATAAACGTCAACATAATTTAAATCTAGCTCTTAAACACCGGGCTTTAAAGCTTAAGACCTTCCGACGGAAAGCGTCTTAGTTCCATTAATCGTTGATTATCCTTCTAGATTCTACAACAATAGATCTTGTCCATATGCCGGCAACTGTCCATACAATCACAAACTGCGTTATGAAGTGGAACCAGTCGCATTTCTGAAGGGCGCCGATTTTTTCTTGGGGGAGCTGCCTATCCCAGCAAACCAAAGACCCTGCCATTTTCACAAAATTGGTCAATGTTTATACCAAGATAAATGCAGGTTTTTGCATGATAATGATGGCAGTTTAAGAGGCTACCACAGTGTTGAAGGAACAGGCCCAATTTGCGCTGTTCTTAAATCTCAGCCCCAGGAAAGGTAAGTGTTGTTTCAAGCTGGGTTCTCATGAGTCCGGAATGCGGAAAACCTTCCGACCAATCAGAAGTTTACCGGATGCGTTCGCTCTGCCCCTCCGCAGAAGTTCCCAAATTTCAGTATTTTCCACACAGGGTTGCCAGGTCCGAAAATCGAGTTTCGGTAAATAAGCTCGACACTTTTCGGTAGAAAATCGGTACTCATTTTTCTTCCCTCATTAAAGGCTCCAGAAAATCGCGGGTTTTTCAAAATTTTTAAACTTACAGGAATACTAAAATAAACATGAGTCAGTAAAGAAGTAAAGGTGAAATTGTACTCGTTTTTAGCTTATTTCTCAACTTAGTTTTCATTAGATTAACCTGTGAAAATATCCGTTCAACTTGGCTGATGAGTGAGGTAGAATAAGCAGGTTACAAATAACATTGGTTAAAATTGGAAACACGCATGTATCATATTTCCATCTTCATATTTCAATATTTGTACTTGGCTCCAAAACTCAATATTTCCACAATTTTTTTTAATTTCTTCAACGTTTTGCAACAGACGTCATTCTGTGTCCAGACCTTGTAATTCACTATAATTTATTAAATTTGGAAATATCATTGCAACATCAGAAATATCGGATTGTAGGGAATCTGATTTCACTATTGAAGGATCCATAAAACATAATTTTATCATATTTATGATCTATATGGCGGGCTTGATTGCATGAACTTACTTTGATCATTAATGGAAATATGTTATATTATTTTAAGTAATCCACGGAACTTTTTTCAATTTTTGTTTGTTACTTTTCGGTCGAAATCGGCATGGTATTGATAGACCTGGCATGCAGTGTCCACATGGCGTGCGGAAGAAGGTGAAAATCTAGGTTATCTCCACTGATGCTCAGTGCTGATGTTCAGCACCGTCTTTCATTTTGATGTCTTTTTTTCTTTTCCTTCTTTTTAGAACGTTCGAAACCAAGAGTTAAATCTGCTTTTAAAACAAAGACATCAAAATGAAATACGGTCGTATAGACGCCGCTGAACATAACCTTTCACTGGAGCATCAGTGGAGATAACCTAGATGTTGACCTTCTTGCGCACGCCATGCGCAAAATATTAAAATTCTGCAGATGGGCGGAGCGAACGCATCCGGCAAACTTCTGATTGGTCGGAAGGTTTTCCGCATTCCGGACTCATGAGAACCAATCTTTATGGCACATGGAAAACATTGTAACTATTTTAATTTTGTCTCGTGAGAAACGCAAAACAAACGGCCCACACAGTCTAAAAAGAACTATAAATGGGTTGCGAGCACGTCATAGCTGATTTGTGTGTCATTAGTCCTAATTCCAAATAAAAATTAATTCCTGGGTTTCAGTCATTTATTGTCTCTATTTATCAATTAAAATACGTTTCGGTGTTTTCCACCATCATCAGTTTTTATGTGTAGCGTTGTTGCTACTTTAAGCTTTGGCATATATTTTTTTTGCCAAAATATACCGAAATGTACCGAAACTTATTTTAATTGATAAATAGAGACAATAAATGACTGAAACCCAGGAATTAATTTTGATTTGGAATTGAAACACAGTCAGGAAAGTATGTACAAATTAGTCCTAATAAAATTCTGAAGCCACGAATTAAGCCTCCATCTAATCTCTAGTGTTGCATTCAGCATTGTCAATCTGCCATCTACATCATCACAATCAAATTTGGATGCCACATGCCTAACTGTTGAGAAAGAGTGTGCATCATCTGAGGCATGCAGTGTGACTTCAGAGAATAAGTGAGTTAACGGCGATGTAAATCTCCTTTTGTTTATTGCATGTTTTTTTTTTAGTGAATTACGAGGGGAGCAGGGAAGCGAACAGAACCTGGAAGGTGAAGCGGGCGCTTGTGCGTCTCCCCCCTTGGTCATAGTCAACAACAAAAATTGGGTTGACGCCCCAGAATTTGTGCCACGAAGCAAACCGAAGAGTTACGCCCAGGTAGTGAGTCCAGAGAGTTTGGCAGATAAAGGGGACCACCGACGGCTCTGTCCTTACACTACAAAAGATGGAATATGTGTTAACGTGGCAACATGCACCAATGTGCATGGAGATTTCTGTGATATGTGTGAGAGATTTACTTTACATCCTTACAACGAAGAGGAGAGGAAGCGCCATAAACAGGAATGTATAAAGCAGCACGAGAAAAATATGGAGTTGTCATTTGCTATTCAGCGATCAAAGGAAAAATCCTGTGGCGTTTGCTTTGAGATCATCATGGAAAAGGCAACGGGAGAACAACGGTTCGGAATTTTACCCAACTGCAATCACTGCTTTTGCTTGACTTGTATTCGAAAGTGGCGCCAAGCAAGGCAATTTGAAAATAAAATAATTCGGTAAATTTTCAAAGGTTTACCGACAGCATCAGATATTGTATTGGATAATTAATTTCAGAGCTTGTCCGGAGTGCAGAGTCACCTCAGATTTCGTCTGTCCTAGCATGTATTGGGTGGATACCAAAGAAGACAAGGAAAAGTTAATTGAAGACTACAAAAAGGCGCTCTCCCGCAAGGACTGCAAATACTTCAAGCGCGGGGAAGGAAAGTGTCCATTTGGAAATAAATGCTTCTACATGCATGCCGCTCCAGATGGAAGCAAAATCGATGTCGGACCTCCGCCGCGGCAGCGGCGACAAAGACATGCTGATACGGATTTGGATGTACTTCAAGTAAGTCATTTTCTATTTGAGCGACTATTCGGCGCGGTTTCTCAGGTCAGTCGCATCAGTGGTGTAGCGAGGGGTGGGCAAGTGGGGCACTACTACTCACAAAGGGGCGCCAAATGGTCCTCAAAACAAAAAAAATTGCTGGGTCGAATTAATTCGATGAGGGCGGGGGGGCGCTGAAACGGTATTGTGCCCCGGGCGCGAGTTAAGCTTGCTACGCCACTGACTCGCATTCAAATGTTTAAAAAATTACCTTGGTTTGTATGCATTTTAATTAAACGGGCGATTTTCTATTGCAGGTTATGCTATGGGATTTTCTGGACGAGAGAGAATTTCCATGGCATTCATTAGCAGATGATCTAGAAGACTTAGTCTCGTTTTTTACGGATTCGGATGAGTCCGATTGGTCAGATTATGAATTGTTCGTCGATTAGTCTTTGCAGATAATGTTTCATGTTTATCCAATTCACTTTGACAACTTCATTCGTATATACTTCTACGTTTTTCGCTACGATGGACATGAAACAGATTCTTCAATGATGTTTTTCTGAAACAAATGTGGTAGCTTCTGTTTGGTGGATATTACATTTATACTGAGTAATGAGACTGTTTTGCTTTGCAGTAGCCTTTGAATATTATCCACCATTGGGAAAGCTTGAAATCATGGGTGCCACAACATTGTCATTATCTTATTATACTTATTGTTGATATATTAGTTCGGTTTTATATCATCACACCTACATGGTCTTAAGTTTGTTCCATTCGAATATAAATTATTTTCAATGTTTATAATATATTACTCAAAATATTGCATATGAATAGTTTAATGCGTTTTTATACTTATCGTTCAGGCGACTTACGTTAATATTTATTATATGTAAGAAAGTTGTAGGACCCAGCGATTCAAGTTAGTAAGTGTGAGTAAGAATAAATATTGATGTTGAATATGAAATAACTAGTACTCTTTATTTGTTGAATCGTTTGTTTATGTGCAGCTACCTAATCTCATCTTATTTTCTGGCTCACTTGATACTACACGATTTTATTGTACAGACTCAATAGGCAATAGATAGATAGACTTTTAACTGTTTAAACTCGAAGAATACCATATGAGATATAATTACAACTTTCCAATCCAGGTCAGCAGTCAATGAAGGCAGATTTTTAATATAACTTCGAGACATCAACACAATAATGAAAGGGTAAAACAATAATATTCCAGTTTTTCTTTTAAGCAAGAAGTACCAATAAAGTGTGCTAATGCGGCCATCATTACCTTTTAACAAAATAGTCTCAGATCCTAGTTAAAAAGAAAACTAGATGTTCGGAATTGTTGTATTTATGTGATATCAATGCAAATACTTAAAGCAAAGCAGGTAATGTATGCCGTTTTTTCGTTAGTACCTACTTTAGTGTACAAGGTTTTTGGTATTTTAAAATTTAGTAATTGTGATCTCAATTAAATTTAATATTGCAACATGTAAATTGAAAATTTCTTTTTTTATAGTACCTACTGTTCTAATGAACTAAGAGAGCTTTTAATCAATTGAGAACACACTCAACCTGTTACAGTTTATAATTATATTTACTCTTACTAAATGTTTGTTGTGAAATGTTGGCTGCAGTATCTTATGTTCTCATAGTATTCGATTGGTTGAATTATGTTTGACACCTGTAGAACATACATTTGGTGTAAAAAATAGCATCAATTTTAAAATACTCTTCATTAATTGATCGGATTAGTCTGAGGGCATAAGGATAAAAGAATTATGCTATATATGTAATACGATAGAATGCAACTTAAGTTTAAATGTATTCTAACTTTTCATTTTACTGATGTTATATGAAGTGTTTTTAAATGTATTAATTACAAGATTTGAAAGTTTTATTAAAATGTTTAATTTATTATCTCGCTTTATATCTTGTTTCGTTTTTCGAAATTACACATTGAGATTGGTTGTCAATGTATTAGATCTTCTGTTCATCTAGTAAAAATCATAACATCTGAGTGAAATAAAGCCGCTTAGTTAAGTTTTGCATAACAATGGGTTAAGTAGTGAGAGTATATTGTTTACCACAATGTTAGTTTAATTCCAATGTTTAAAGTTAACATTCAGGAAGTGAATTGCCACCACAATGTATGCGATCCCTAATGAAATTTCTATGCTTCCTTTCATTCATTGTATGTATTATCTCAAATTTGTTTAAAATTGTTTATATTGATCAAAAGTATCTGTATGTGATGATGGTAGTAAAGCATAGATATGCTAAATAAACCAGTTAAAATTCTCTCTTGTGTTTGTTTTTCAAATTAAAACCTTTTTCCTCCATATTACTCAGGAAAATCTATTTGGATTTTTCTATAGGAGCAGCAATGGGAATTGAATTTGCAATTGGTGAAAGGGAAACAGTAGCCAAAAGAATATTTTAAAAATCATTAGAACTTAAGGCGGATGAAGATTTAAATAAAAAATATCTCCTAATATAGTTAACTTCGAACTGAAAAACTTCTTAGCTTAAAATGAGCTCAGTGCATGAGACGTTTTGGCTCTTCAATAACTAGGGAATTTCTTGTTGCGGTTGCATTTTAATTGCTGGAAACAGAAAATTTAATGTAAGTTTCCCCAAAAATTAGGTTTTCTTAGAAAACTTTCAAAAAACTGTAAAGATGAGGAATATCAAAAAATACGTTTTGATGTGGGCTCTTATCAGGTGCTCACTAAGATCAAGCAAAGCGAAGTAACATTTTATTGATTCTAATAAAAGTCGATAATTTTTTGTAGACGTATATTGAAAACAAAAAAAATATTTCATTAGTTACAAACACTTAAAGGTAACAATATGCTCATCTTATAGATACCGTTTTCCATAAGGTGTACCAAACTTCGATCGCGAGGCCCACTGAAACTAGAAAATGACCGGAAATATTGTATGTCTGACAAAATGGTGAAGTTTTTGTACGACCTGAATTTTTTTCGGAAATATAAGTTATTTCGATTTTTAGCCCCAAAATCAAATTTTCACTATGTGAGGGGCGTCTATCTACATTCATAGTGTCACAAAATATCCCCCCTGGGGGTATGTTCTGTGCATAGTGTTTGGCTCTATATCAAGGAAGATCGTGACCATGTCGCGAGGCAGCGCCATCTGAAAAACAATGAATAAGCATCAATTATCTATACACCATTTTTTTAGCTAAGAGCCTAAAATAAGAGCTTTCTGGCTATACCTTGGAGACATAAATACACCTTGAAAGTTTGCATTTTATCATCAAGTGAGGTTTAGCGTTAACAATCTCCACCTCCAATCTTAAGTGATACTCTCATCCACAGAATATACCCAGGGGGGATATTCTGTGTTCTCATCTACCTCACTGTACTGTCAAGTATGAATTTGTCAGAAAGGAAATCTCTTAAACTGTAGTTATTTTTGAGTCTATTTTTAGAATGGATATTAATTTAAACCATTAGTTTGTTTTTTATTATTATATTAAGTCCGACTTATTTTCAGTGTAATTTAGTACAATAAACATGCATTTTTCCATACCAGACACTCAGGAGTTAAATGAAGGCAATGGATCCACTTTTATTGTAAGTTCAGTTTTTCCCTTAATTTTAAGCTAAATTAATTCTTTTAAGGGCTATAATATACATATCAATGGTGTCTTCCATTGTACTGTTCGATATAAGCAGTTACACAATTTAAACGAGCAATTAAAGAGAGAATTTGGTAATGACAGTGTTCCATCTTTTCCACCAAAAAAGTTACTCCCCCTTACATCGGGGCAATTGGAGGAGCGAAGAGCGTTGTTAGAAAAGTATATTCAAACAGGTAAGTTGTCTTTAGTTGCCACACCATCTCATGCCGCACATTTAGAGGTCCTTTTCATCTTTATGCGTTGGGCAAATAAAAAACCCTCCCATATGACTATTAAATTACTCCCATATGACTACTAAATTGGATTGTTCGGTTCAAATATGCGATTGTTAGTAATTGTTTGGTCGCATTAATGATCAGTTGCACCAAACATTTAAGAACCGCTAGCTAAGTTATGCGTAACTTGTTTCGAAATGTTTCATGTAATAAAGCTAATATCCCATTTAACGTAAATAACACTGGCCAAGTGTTTATATATACACACACACACATGTGAAAGTCGACTTCATGAGGAATGTTTATCAGTTATCCAATGTTATTCACACATATGTAAAGTGCGTCTAAGATTTTTATTATTATAATTTTCCTCAAAAAGTTATTCTTCATAGAGTTATGCTTGGTTTAGAGCCTAAAACGCAACAATCAGTTAGATTAAATTTTGTAAGTCGCATACGAGGTATATTAGAAAATTTGAATTTTCCTCAATAATAAAGTTTTATTTTTGACAATGTCGAAAATTGTTTTTAAGAAAAGTTGATGAGATCTAAAAACTACATCAAATACTACTACAAAATTCGCAATTGCATCCAGTTATATAAACAAAATATTTTGAAATAATAAATTACACATCCGGAAGTTCTTATAAAAAAATTCAAAATTTTACCTGATTTTTTAATGTTCTAGTTGGTCAGGATGCCAATCTTGTGTCTTCCGAACTAGTATGTGGATTTTTCTTATCCGCCCAACAAGAGACTGCCTGCAACGATAAACAAGATGTAAATTTAGACGTTTATATAATGAATAATTATCAAATTAAAGTTAGGGTTTCGACATTTGACTGTACAGAAAAAGTACTGGCCAGAGCGCTCAAACAGGTGAACTTGCCAAGTGAATATGTGCAGTATTTTTCCCTTTACCTCATTAAGATAGAAAACACAAATGATATTGTAATGTTAAGGAAACTATTGGATTTTGAGTCGCCATACATGACACAACAAGTAATGAGAAGTGCCACTAGATTAATAATAAGGAAAAAGTAAGTACTTATCGCCTAAATTAGAGTTTCTATCATCGGAACTTCCTTGGTTCCTACATTGCAGTTATTGGGATATTGACTATGACACTGAACTCTTGAGAGATCCAGTCGCTCTCAACTTACTATACATCCAAACCCTCGCTGAGATCGAGAAAGGATGGATTATGGCCATGCGAGAAGCAAAAACTCAATTGGAAAACCTAAAATTTAGACTAGCCAAGAAGGAGTACATTCAATTTGCTCAAAAACTGAAATACTACGGCTTTATGCAGTTTTCCCAATGCTACTGTGACTATCCTCAACCTCAAACTAAGGTGTTGGTTGCAATAGGCGATGAAGAATTGAGTCTGCGAATTTTGGGACCTGGAAATTTGGTTAAAGAAGGCGTTTTTAAGGTTACTAGAATGCGATGCTGGCGAATAACTGCCACAAATGTGAGTAGTTACTCAAAAACTTTTCAGCTCTCACACTTTTAGAAAAATCGAATGCATAAGTTTTCATTATTTAACGTATTTTAGAGCAAAAGAATTACCAATTCGGAAAATGGTTCCTACAGTAACAGCGTCCACCCGAACTCAACTCTAGAATTATCCTTCGAATACCTAATGTCCAAAGATAAGTTGCAATGGATCACTATTAGCAGTGAACAAGCGATTTTGATGTCGGTCTGCTTGCAATCTTTAGTTGACGAGTTGCTTTTGAAGAAAAATGGTGTGAGGAAAAGGCAGTGCGTCAAAGCAAATGCTAAATGGACCTACATGAAGCGAGACGGCTCATGCCAATTAATTTCTATAGACCAGAACGATCTTGATAGTTCAGATGTGAGAACAATTGAACAAACGTCGGAGCGGTTGTATAATGTTTTTTTTTTTTTTTAGGAACAAATCACGACTGCTGAACACAGTTATGAGGAGCCATTCTCAATAAAAACGTTACAAGAAAAATTTTCGAGCGTTTCCTTCAAGAGCGGTCGCGAATTTGTGGAAAATCACGCATTTGAAGGAATAGGAGACGATGATTTATAGTTGTTAGTATCTGCCAAAATAGGTTTATGTTTTGTTGATTGTTTATAGATGCTAAAATATGGATCAATCAGAAATGTATTCATTTTTGACAATCGTGTATTGTGTTACATAAGGAAGTGAAGCAACAATATGCGAGCTATTAGGTTTCTTAATTTTTTACAGTGTTATGTAGGTTTTATTGCTGTATTGTGCCAAACTTTTGTATCAAGATGCCTCTGGTGAATTTTTCAGGAAATCGCTTTTGTTATAATACGGACTTTTTCTACAGATCTTTTTTGAAATTTAAATTATTATTTAGAGATAATTTTACTATAAAAGATATAATTCGGGTGCACGCGCACTTGCTTGAGGAACGGTCCTGATCCATATATTTATCTACTGCATTATTTATACAAACTAATGTTGTTATTACTTAGCTTTACATATCTGCGTGTGCTTTTAATACCATTAATGTTGGTCCCGCCACTCTAGGCTGCATTGATCGATAAGCTGGTCAAATAATAAATTCCATCCATCAACAGATACTGTTATTGTTAAAGAGATAAAGTTTGCAATTTTTTTCTGTTGTTTCTCAATTGTTTTAAAAACGTGGTAAATTTATTTAAGAATAATACAAATTTTGAACTGTCTTGTATATAGATCGTGTTTTGTAAATATGTATTAATTGCTATTCATGCCTCCAATATATGTTTGTAACACGTACTTGCCAAATATTGCTCAACCGATTTGCAATTAAGTTGACAAAGGTTTATCTTGTTTATTTTTAAAATTAGAAAACCTTTTTAATTTGAAGCATTCCCATAGGACATTGATATATTTTCTTATTGCGTATTTTTTCTGATATTCAGTCAAAAGTAATTCGATCTTCTTTATGGCTATAATCATTATAGATTTATAGTTTTTGTATTTTTATATCTATAAAGTAACTATAGATATTGATAGGGTACTATATTTTGTCATTATTTGTATTATATGTATA